CAACTTATCTTTGACAAAGGCACTAAAAATATATGATGGAGAAAAGACAGCTTCTTCAATAAAAACTGCTGGGAAAACTGGTTAGCAGTCTGCAAAAAACTGAAACTAGATCCATGTTTGTCACCCTATACCAATATTAACTCAAAATGGATCAAGGATCTTAATATCAGACCTGAAACTCTGAAGTTGGTACAGGAAAGAGTAGGAAATACTTTGGAACTAATAGGTATAGGCAAGGACTTTCTCAATGAAACCCCAGCATCTCAGCAACTAAGAGATAGCATAGACAAATGGGAACTTCATAAAACTAAAAAGCTTCTGCTCAACAAAAAAAAAATGGTCTCTAAACTGAAGAGACCACTCACAGAGTGGGAGAAAATACTTGCCAGCTACACATCAGACAAAGGACTGATAACCAGAATATATAGGGAATTCAAAAAAGTAAATTCTCCCAAAATTAATGAACCAATAAAGAAATGGGAAAGTGAACTAAACAGAACTTTCTCAAAAGAAGAAATTCAAATGGCCAAAAAACACACGAAAAAACACTCACCATCTCTAGCAATAAAGGAAGTGCAAATTAAAACCACACTAAGATTCCACCTCACCCCTGTTAGAATAGCCATCAGTAGCAACACCACTAACAGGTGTTGGTGAGGATGCGGGGGAAAAGGAACCCTTGTACACTGCTGATGGGAATACAAACTAGTACAACCACTCTGGAAAAAAACTTGGAGGCTTCTTAAAAATCTAAACATAGATCTACCGTATGATCCAGCAATACCACTCTTGGGGATATACCCAAAAGACTGTGACACGGGTTACTCCAGAGACACCTGCACACCCATGTTTATTGCAGCACTTTTCACAATAGCCAAGTTATGGAAACAGCCAAGGTGCCCCACTACTGATGAATGGATTAAGAAAATGTGGTATTTATACACAATGGAATTTTATGCAGCCATAAAGAAGAATGAAATGTTATCATTTGCAAGTAAATGGATGGAACTGGATGGAGAACATCATTCTGAGTGAGGTTAGCGTGGCCCAAAAGACCAAAACTCATATGTTCTTCCTCATATGCGGACATTAGATCAAGGGCAAACACAACAAGGTGATTGGACTTTGATCACATGATAAAGCGAGAGCACACAAGGGAGGTATGAGGATAGGCAAGACACCCAAAAAACTAGATAACATTTGTTGCCCTCAATGCAGAGAAACTAATGCAGATACTCTAAGGTGACAGAGGCCAATAGGAGAAGGGGACCAGGAACTAGAGACAAGGTTAATTCGAGAAGAATTAACTTAGAAGGTAACACACATGTACAGGAAAGCAATCAGAGTCAACTCCCTGTATAGCTACCTTACTCAACTACCAAAAACCCTTGGTCTTCTATTATTGCTTATACTCTCTCTTCAACAAAGCTAGAGATAAGGGCAAAATAATTTCTGCCTGGTAGTGAAGGGGTAAGGGAGGAGAAGGAGGAGGCGAGAGGGTAAGACAGAGGGTGGGGAAAAGTGGGGAGAAATGACCCAAACATTGTCTGCACATATGAATAAAAGAAAAAAAGAATAAGTTGATGAGTTAATAAAAATGGTTTAAACCATGGTTAATTTATAATCATAAGAAAAGTGCTTTTGAATAGCATGGGAATGACAGAAGAACTAATGGAATTTTTTTTTCAAATCACAAATTACTTTGAATAAAAAGACATATGACTCACAATCCAGTTCGTTTTTTGCATTCATTCATTTTCTATTCTTCAACTTCTTTACATTTGTATTCATCACCAAGTTGTTTTCAATTTTCTTGAAGAATTTCCCATCACTAGATCCATTCCTTTTGATTCTTGCAGCTACAGAACTGAGTTGAGAAAGTTGCATAAATTCACATGCTAGACCAAGCTCAGATTGATGTTGGCCGCTGGTTCCCTCATGGGCACCTTAGGGTCCAGTTCAGCCAAGGGGCATAACTGGGGAACAACAAAATGGCCCAATACCACTTTTTTGCTTCTTTATAGAATGTAGACCTAAAATGCTGCTGCTGATGATAACAATAATGGGATGTTGATATATATATATATATGGGACTGTCCTGGGGAATCAGAGGGATAGGGGAGGAAGAAAGGAAAGGACACTGAGGTATAAAGAGGATTGGAGCATGATAGACAGATATATAGAAGATAGATAGATAGATAGATAGATGATAGATGGATAGAATATTTGAAATAAATCAAACACTATTTAGAAGGGGGAAGAGGAAGAAGTAAGGGAATATAAAGGAGGGTGTAAACTTATTCAAAGTACACCATATGCACATATGGAATTATCACAAAGACACCCCCTTACACTATTAATGTAATGTATTAGAAAGTGTGAGGTCTTGAATTCAAACTCCAGTACTGACAAAAAAAATCTAATTTTCATGGGATGGAGTGGCTCAAGTGGTACAGCACCTGACTAGCAGGTGTGAGACCCTGAGTTCAAATACAAGTACTATAAAAAGAAAAATCTGATGTTCACATTTTTATTTCAACATATTCATGCATGTGTAAATGCTTTTTGGTTGTATTTGTTGGTTGAGTGCAGCTAGGGACTTAACCAAAATATATTGAAATGTATCATCACTTTACTATACTGGGAGACTATGTATTATAATATGAAGTCACTTTCTAAATTCCTGATTTTCTTTTTGCATCAAAGCATTAATTTTGTTAGCAATAGTTAAGATAACCAGTTTCTACCAATTTTAATTTTAACATATTCAGCACAGAAGAAGAATAATTTCCCACAGGTTCAGTTGGAGTTGAAGTGAGCATTGAATAGACACAACAGTAGTCCCAAATTATGGTGGGAGAGTTAAGATGCTCATCTCCCTGATGTTTTCTCTCCAAGCCACACTCCCAATACAATAAGATTTCATTCATAGCTGGGATTTGTAAACCAGAAAACCATGGTCAGTCCAAATTAACACAAGAAGCTTACTAAAGTTATATCAATAAGCAGCATTTTATTGAAAATTTGAAAGAATGAAAGAGGAGGCACATTATCACTGTAAGCTTTTTTTTTAAGTGTGCACATGAGGAAACTACACTTTCTTTTGTTGTTAAAAATGTCTGCTGGACAATCAGAAAAATCCTTAATGGTCTTTTTCCACTTTGCTCTTCTTAAACCATCTCTCATAGGTTTAACCATAGAAATCTTTGCCATACCTATGGCAAGACACAAGAGTAAAATCTTTTGCTATTACACAGCCTTCTGGACACTGCTAAGATGATCTAGCTGAAAAAGACACCCCGTCAGTACATATAGCTCAAAATTTGGGACCTGAACTTAAAAACACTAGGATTATAGAAAAGTCCCCATATTTTAAAATTAGAACAAGACTTTAATTAATAAAAAAGCTACATTAAAAAGTAAGTGAAAATATGTTTCAAAATCTAAACTTCTAAATTATTGTTGACTATGTAATCATTGTGCAAGGACACATTAAGATACAGTGGAAAGCAGTTTGCTGTCTCATGTCATTAGTTGCTAGTAGACATGTGTTTTATTTGGACCTTTGTATATTTCAATCCATCCCATAATCACACACTTGTTCCTGCTCACCTAAGCAGAACTTGTCTGTTTTTGAAATGTGAGCTCTTCTTTATATCAATCTCTTTGAAGACTTTAAAAACAACATTTTAGCCAGAGGTGGTGGTTCAAGCTTTAATCCCAGTTATTAAGAAGGCAGAAATGGGGAGGATTGAGGTTCATGGCCATTCTAGGTGAAAAGATCCCATATAAATCAATTGTCCATGGGGCTGATGATGCCTGCCTGTGTTCCCAGCTATGTGGGAGGTGGTAGGTAGGAACATCCTGGTTGTAGTCTGGCCCTAGGCAACCATGTGAGACCCTACTTAAAAAATAAGTAAAAAGGAATGGGAATGTGACTCAAGTGGTCAAATGGAATTCTAAGCCCAGTACCGAAAAAAAAAAGTATAATAAAAATAAGAGTTTTTTCCTGTTCACTTACTTAATTTCATTTCTTCATTTTTTTTCTGGCTCAAATAGTGATAGCCATCATCCTTGTAACTTTCTATGTCTTTTCTTTTTGCTGGTACTGGTGTTTGAACTCAGGGCCTCAAACTTCCTAGACAGGTACTCATTTTTTCAAGACAGATTCTCAAGAACAGTTTTCCCAGACTGGCTTTGAACTATGAATACAGATCTGCCTCCAGAGTAGCTAGGATCAGAGGTGTGAGCCACCAATCCTGACATCTATGTCTTAATTGGCACTGTGGTTTGAACCTTTATTCTGGTCCATGTTTAGGTTGTGAATAACCTATACAAACATTTGCATTTGAAAAGAAGGCTCAGAAAAAAGAAGAACGTTTAATCTAAAATATAATGTTAAGTCGCATATATTTTAAGAGTCCAAATTTTTCCTATTAGTCTGCCTCAACTTCCCTCTTTCAAAATCCTGAAAAAATCTTTTTTGGGATTGCTGAGGACTGGTGTTCTCTCCTCTTCATCTGCTTCAAGCTATCAAGGGGCAGAAGCCCCTACCTACAAGGGAAATTTTCTACTTCTCTACCTCAGGGGTCATTTGGACAACCAGATGACTCCTGTTGTCCTTTGCCCAGCACAAACAAGGTTTGCTCATGGAATCTTTCATTCATCGGCAGAGATTGACAGCCCTGTTGCTTCATGATTTGGATCCTAAAGGCTTTTATCCTGGAAGAGATAAACCTGATTAACAAGTTTAGAAGGCATGGCCCAACCACAGAACACCAATAGGAAGCATCAGAAGGGGCCCTGCAAGGTGCAGCAGCCAGCATGTACAATTTTTAGTCTTAAGTTAGGTAAACTACACTGTTTTTCTAAGAAAAAGACAAAGCCTATCTTTTTTTATCTGTCAAAAGATCTAATTATTCATTTTGAAAAGTGACAACCATCAGAGAGTCTATTGGTTACTTTTCCTATAGGTGTCAACACCTGTAGCTATCCGTAACCATTAAATGGCCCTCTTTGTTTGGACTGCCACTGTAGTGGGGCAGTTAAGGACTGATTGTTTGGGAGTAATACTTACATCAGGGGCCAGGTGTACCATGGGCAAGTATACAGGGACAGTACAGTTAGAGGGTAAACATCAATAGTGTAAGGTACTGCTGAATTAAGACCATGCCACGTGTGGAAAGGAAAGATTTATTAATCCAGACCGTGGGCTGTCCACTCTCGGGGTTCAGAGTGAAAGCGGCTTTGGTTGAATTGGGTAGTGGCTTTATACTAGGGGCCAAGCCATGGGCGAGGGAGAGAGTCTCTGGTCTCTGATTATCTGTGATCACCAGATGGAGCAGGTCGACATGCCTGGCTAGTTGAGTAATTGGAAGTTCCTGAGTTGTTTTGCAAGCCGAGAAACAATCAGGCAGGGAGAAACAAGTGGTCATAAATCAGGGGGTCTGGTTTTAAGGTGTAGCCTCGGGTCCTTCCGCCTGCCCCAAGAATGCCAGGGACCTAACAAATAGCAGTCAGTTATATGATAAAGAAGACTCAAGGGTCTTTAAGCAGCAAGTTAAACACCATTATAAGGTAGAAACAAGAGGGATTAAGCAACTCTATGAGTATGAGCTATTAAAAGGACATACTTGGAGCTAGAAGAAATAGTCAGATCGCCTCTGTTAAGCAGAAGGCTCTGGCCAAAGACATGAGTTTGCCTTTTGCCAACTCCTAGAAGGCTTTAGTACCAGACAGCACAAGTGTAAGATCCCCATTTTTTAATCTCTTAGCTTTGGTTAATTTTAAAGATCTAGCATAGTTGACTCCATCTAGATCTGGAGGAAGTCCCCTCCTTTGTGTAGTCCTTTTAAATTGTAGTCCTCTTATACTGTTTCTCTGAACAGTTGCTTCTGAATATTTTGCTGATTTGGCAGTTTGGTGCCTTATCACCAGAAGCAGCTTTCTCCCAGAAAGGCTGATTTGGTCCACCATTGGAGGGGAAGTAGCACAGCAGTCAGATCAGAAGTTAGTGCCAATGTGAACTTTCTGGCAAAATTAAGCAACAAACAGATTTACAAAAAACGGATCCTGGGCTGTGCTTAATTAAGTCTAGTTTTTGTCTGTCTTATGGGGAATGTACTGGCATCTTAAAAGTGTTGTAAAATATCAACAGACAACAGTTACAACGTTTTATAAAAAAAAAAGTACAAAACAACGGTATCTTAAGAATGTCTGACTTGGTTGACAGATCGGTGCTTGTCAGAGTCATTTTCCATGGGCTTGTCTGTAAATGTTTCAGAAGGACCAGACCCTCTTGGCCTCACCCTTTCTTTCTATCAACAAAGGTAAGATTTTGCTCCTTTCCTTCCCATGACATAGGGCCCAATATGAGGTGGAAGAGGTGGATAAGGACACAGAGAACACACACTATTTTAATAAATATTTGAAGGGCCAGACTCAGACATTGGAATAAGGAAGTAAAAACTGAAAAGCCACAGTACAGAGCCCTGTCCCGTCCCCTTTTAGATGTTAATTTACAGGAGCAGACAGACTTGAAGGGCTACCTGCATCTGCCTTCCTCTGAGATGTTAACAAGTTACAGTGCTTCTTGAATGGGTAGAAGGAAAGACTTGTCTGGCAAAGGGAAATGCTAACATTCACCTATTTTCCCTTTGGATAGGCCTAGATAACATCTCCTTATTTTGCAATAATAAATATCACTCATCTTGGGCACTTGTTTAGAGTTCCTAGACTTCTAGTGACATGGATTTACCCATCCCAGGAAAGATTAAAATTACAGATACTAAACCTCCATTTGAGTCTATTCCATTTCCTTTGTGGGGAACAGAAAATGTTTCTTTCTCCTCTTCCACCACCACCTTGTTCATACTTCCTTATCCTGTTATAATAAAATAAATTATTTCTAAAACTTCTACCTTGTGAGACTTCATGTTGTGAGATAACTTTAAATGCTTTACACATCTCTGGATCTCAAGAATCTGTGATTTTCTGTGGAGACTGGGAAGCTGTGGGAAAAGCCCCTCATCTATCCCCTGGCAACATATACACATGTCTGAATCATAGTTCTTCTAAGCCAGCTATGGTGATCTGATCCAACTTTCCTTCCCATGTGTGAGGAGGTGTGTCTACTGAGCAATCTGGGAGATATTTATCTACTTCTTAACAGAAGCACACCAGAGGAAACAGTTTCCTTTTCCTGCCTTTGGAAATTGTTGTGAGAATATGTAAACTAAAGTGGCAGCAGGTATCCTTTTAACCTCTCAGGGAAACTGACAAGCTATGAATGAGAAAGAGATGATCTGTGAAGTTCCAGGATCATTGCAGATATCATTGGCCTGCAGAACTGAGCAGCCCTGGAGATGCACCATCTTGGAGTCAGCTGCTGTGGAATGTAATGAGTTATAGTAATGCAGACTAGAAAATAGGGAAAGATGGGACTATTAGAGCATATTGCATTTCAAATTGTATATTCTCTCTCTCTCTCTCTCTCTCTCTCTCTCTCTCTGGACTCCTTTTCAATTGCAAATATGTGCAGAGTAATCCATCACTATCCATATCTCTACCCGCTCACTGATTATTGCTGATCTGGAACTGCTGGGTCTTTCCCCTCCCACAGATTATTATGGTTTTAAACACCTTGAAACAGAGAGAACTCTCTCTCTCTCTCTCTCTCTCTCTCTCTCTCTCTCTCTCTCTCTCTCTCTCTCTCTCTGCTTCTGGCTCCTCCCTTCCACTTGGCCCACCTAGTCAGATGAGGCCACCGTTGTTTCTTGTGATGTGTTCTCTTTACCTTTAATAAGTATGAGGGTTGAGACCTGTAGGGAGGAGATGGTAGGTGTGATCTAACCAATGTACAATGTAAGAGTATTCAGAATTGTCACAAAATCCCCCCTGTATAATGAATATATCCTAATAAAAAATTTTAAAAGATTCCACCTTACTCCTTTTAGAATGCTATCATCATGAACACAAACAGCAACAAATGTTGGTGAGAATGTAGGGGGAAAGAGCCCTCATTTACTGTTGGTGGGAATGTAAATTAGCACAACCACTATGACTATAGTATGGAAGTTCCTCAAAAAACCAAAAGTACAACTACCATATGATTCAACAATACCAGTCCTAGGGATATACTGAAAGGAATGTAAGTCAGGTTACAATAAAGTCACCTGCACACCCATGTCGATTGCAGCATTATTCATAATAGCCAAGCTATGGAAACAGCCAAAATGCTCCACAACTGATAAATGAAATAAGAAAATGTGATACACATGTTTATATACAATGGAATTATATTCAGCCATAAAGAAGAATGAAATCTTGTCCTTAGAAGGTTAATGGATGGAACTGGAGAACATTATCCGAAGTGAGGTTTGCTAGGCTCAGAAAGCCAAAGGCTGCATGTTTGTTCTCATATGTGGAATATAGGCCCAATACAAATACAAGCAATGTTACATATACATACAAATACATACAGAACATGTACCCAAAAATGGGATTAACCAAATCGGGATATGTCATAATGAAACTTTCTGTGTAGCTATCTTAAACAAAAATGTCATTTTTCAAAAACAAAGGACAGGAAGATAAAACAGGTCCTGTCCAAGGGTGATACTAACAGGAGAGGTAACCTTAGAAAGAGAAGGTGAAGGAGGGTGAATATGGTGGAAATATTATGTACTCATTTATGAAAAAGGAAAAACGAGACTTGGTGAAACTATTCTACCATGGGGGAAAGAGGATAAAGGACAATGATGATGGAGGGGGAGAATTTAACTATGATATATTGTATGTTCTTTTGTAAATGTCACAATGTACCCCCAGTACAATAATAATATGATAATAAAAATAAAATAAATTTAAAAAATAATATAAAGGCCAGTAGACTATCATTTCAACTATGTAAAAGTACACTAAAATAGCAAACAAACAAAAAATAATAACAGGGAATTTAGATCGAAAAGAGACCTAAGAACGGTCAGAGGTGCCTCACAGGTCACAACCCCACCCACCCACCCTCAGACTCACACATGCAAATTGGTCTGATACTGTATTCTCAATTAATTGTGTGTGACCAACCTCCTCACACTGATCCTAGCCATTTACAGACCTCATCTCTCCTCCTCTCTATACCCCAACCATAACAACTACATTTCTCTTCCCCACAATTATCATGCACTCTCACTCTCCACAGTGCTCACCAAGACCCCCTGATGCCACCTCTTGCCATGCCCATCCCTCCTCTCCCAGGTCCTCCCTAACTGACACACACCCTCATTTTCATTGCTACTGTCACCTCAGATATACTTCTTCACATACACACAGACATGCATAGTCACTCCATCTCAAACCATTAAACACAGACAAAATCCCACACTATCTCAGGACATACACTCATAGTGACCTCCTGATGTCACCTCCCTCACAATACCACACAGCCTGGAACAAGTCTCTCTCTCTCTCTCTCTCTCTCTCTCTCTCTCTCTCACACACACACACACACACACACACACACACACACACAGGGTCCCTGGCCACCCCACCCTATGTTCACCCCTCCTCTGCACAGTAAAGCTCTCACCAATCCTGTGGTTGTCTCTGTAGAACCTGTCCACTGCAGCCCGTTTCTGCGCCAGGCAATCCTTCTGGCTGTTCCAGTACTCAGCATCTGCCTGCCCCAGCTTGGTCACCACCTTGTATTGCCCCAAGTCACTGTCGAAGCGAACATACTCCTCCTGGTTATAGAAGTATCTCACCAGGTACTGCACCCGCTCCATCCCATTGGAGAAGTGACTTTCATGTTTAACTTGCTCCAAGAAACGTGCTGTGGAAACAGGAACTGTTACTGGCTCTAATCTTGCTTTGAGGACTGGGTATCTGAAGGATCAAGTTCCTCCTCAGGAGCCCAAACTCTCTGGACCTATGATGGCTGCCAGAGTGACCCAGACATCCTCCACCTTCACATGATGGCATCCGCATGCATGACACATATGGCAGTGCGTGACAGTTGACAATTGCCATGAAGGACCCATAAAAGGAAAGAAAAGGATAGATGCTCAAATCCAGGAAAATCTCCCCTGTTTTCAGTGTTTTCAGAGAGGCTGAACATCTCTCCCTTTATTAGCCTATCCCTTCCTCCATTTCTTTTATCCTATGATGGAGAATTTCATGTATCACCATTTTACTATTCTTGGTCAAGAATAAAACTCACTCTTATTATTGGTTCTACAACTTCAAAAGTGAAAAATGATCCAGTTTAGGGTCAAAAATTGGGAAAAGATCAATACTGCCACAGACCAATTAGAAGAAATTGACAAGTATACCCACAATCTGGTCACCTCCCCAAAGATCAGCACCCCACAAGTTCATCTTTAATATCCCAAAGGCAGAGGAAGCCCGTGGGGCTGGGACACCCCTCTTTTCTGTTGTCTTTAGGGACCCACTGCCCCTCAGCTAGGCAGGAGACCAACAAGTAGGAGCTGGACAAAGATTTGCCCCTCATCACTGCCTACACCACTCCTGCTGGGAGCTTCTAGGGGAAAGAAGCGACTCCTGACTCCTGATTCTCATGGTCACAGCTCTTCACCCTTCCCTTAAACAGGACCCATCTGGAGCATTCTGTGAAATCTCTCTTAGTGCTGACTATGTGCTGTGTTGTCCCTAATGCTTTCTGTGCATTGTCTGTTTGAACCCTCAAAACAACTCTATGAGAAGATAATATCTTCTAACCCTCAAAGTAACTCTACAAAGTAGATAATTTCTTCCTCATTTTACATTTAAACTAAAGCAAAAAAGGAGCCAAATCACCTGTCCACAGTCACATAGTTCATGACAGGTCAAGCAAGTATTAAAAACTGAGAAATCTGGCTATGGTGTCCTAGCATTTAACCATTACATATACTCCATATAAAATTTCTTGGAAATGATTAAGTATGAGTTTTATGCCTTGTGTCATAGCTACCATACAAGTCTCCATCTGTTTGTAGATTAAATGTAACTACAGAAATCATGAATCTAACTTATTCTTCTCAGTGATTTCAATTTTTAAGAAAGATATGGTTTGACTGTTTTTAAAAAAAAGGAATGAAGAAGAAGAAAGAGTTGAAATATAATGGAAGGGGTGAACTTGTTCAAAGTACACTCTATGCATGAATGGAATTGTTACAATGAAACCCCCTCATATTATTAATGTATGCTATTTCAAACATATTATAAAAGTATTTTTAAAAAATGAATGATATGGCTTGGATAAATGTGACCCAAACGTTGCTGTGTTAAAAGGCTGGTACCAGCTGTGGCCGTATTGGAAGGTAGTAGAAACTTTTTAGAGGTAGGGACTAGTGTGATGAAGTGACATCACTGAGATGTGCTATTCAAGGTGATACCAGAATACGACACCTCTCTCTCATAACCACCTGGCTGCCACAACACACTCCCACCCTGACATATGGCCTCACCACAGTACCCAAAGCAATGAGCCAACTGACCATGGACTGAACCATGGGCCAAAATAATTCTCTCCACCTTAGAGATGGTTTATCTCAGGTAACTTTTCACAGTGACTAACAGAAGCATTATTAGCCATCCTGTCATTTAAAATCCTACTACCTTTTAAAAATGCTTATTTGTGCTTATCTCATGCCATGTTCTCAACATACTCCATCACCTCATATCCTCTGAAACAATAATGTCATCAGTACATAAATTTTATGTAGAAACTCTACCAATTTTACTCAACATACTTATAACTGATTTTCAAGCTTTTCATTTCCTTTTCTCTTGCATACATAGATATAAATAGAGATATACTGAAACACATAATACTTTAACTGAGATATATATGTGTACATTGTTTTATGTATATATTTGTACTCAATTGTACTTCAGAGTATATGAACAGGATTTGAGTTACTCAACAGATGAAAGTTTCAGTCACTTATCTGATGTCCGTGTCTTTTCAACAGTCATCAAGCCAAATGATTTGATTTTACATCACATTCCCGTGTTTTCTCTCCACTATCCACTACTTATCAATAGCAATCACAACCACTTCTTTTCTATTCAATTGCTCCAAGTACTTTTCTTCTGATTTTCAGTCTCCACCTCCAAATATTCATCCTGTGGATGCAATGCCTCTGTTTGTAGGCCCCCACAGAAAGGGCGAAGCTAAGAAGAAGATGGCATCCACATATGCACAGTGTGGAAGAGCAATCCGTCTCCAACTTTGAATAGAGACCTTCACCAAGCTCCCTCTGCATGGAAAAATGCAGCACTGGAAAATGAATTGTGGACCAGAATAGATCTGTCTGTTCACAAATCCTCTAGGTATCTTCTTACCAGATGAAAAAGGTAAAAAATAAAACAGGGAAATTGTTACTCAGTGTCACCTGTCCATATCACCTCTGCAATTAGCACTGTTGGCCCATGCTCTCATGCTGTCTGTGAGAGCATGAGACATTCCCAGCCATGTGCCCAACTTAGGATGCCAGCTACAACAAATAAAAACAAATGATGTACAATTGAATTATTGTGTTATCTGAAATTTAGATATAACTGGGCATCCTACATTTTATTTGTCAATGTTTTCAAAACAAATAATGAATTTAGTATTTCTTTGTCTTCTTGAATTCAGCCTCCACCCTTACAACATGTACTGGCACATGTGAAATCACAAGCTTTACCAATATTTCACACTCCGTTTAGCCACTACTCACTAATGGAGGGGGAAAACCCAGGCTCTAGAATAAGATTATCTGAATTTCAAGGTGCGCTTTTCTACTTGTGTCTGTTTCTAATATCTAGCCTTCTTTCTTTGTCCCTAAAATGGATTTTAAAATAGCATATTCCTTACAGCACTACTGTTAAGGGATACAATAAATAGTGACTCTCTCTAGTGGTGACCACATAATAAATACTGAACAAACATCATCATTTTAATTTTTATCACTATTGTGAAAGCAAACTCATGAGATCTATTTATTCTCTAATTTCTTAAAATAATACATTTATCATAATATGGCAATTTTCTGTGCTTATTTTATCACTAATTGCCATTTTACCACTTCAGGGCAGAAACACTGGTTTACGTATACTGATGCGGCATGAATACATCACACATAAGAAGTACACTGACATGGAAGAGGAAATAGTGAACCTGATTTGCACTATAGTCTGGGTTCTAACACTAACTGTGTAAAACTAATTATGAGCTACTTGAATCATTTGGGTTTAAAATTCCATAAATATATATGCTGTTAAATGCTTCAGAAATGACAGCATAATTGTTGCAATGTCATGCTAAAATGCATAGGTCTGTGAAATGTGACAGTGCAACATGCTGCAAAGCTGATTTGTTTTGCTCATGTCTGCATTGTCATCAGTAGTGTAATAACTGATGTATTCTGAGTTATTGAGAAATAATGGCTATGTGAAGAATGAAGTTTTGCATGACTTAAGGCACAAGTCCTTTTGATACTTTTTTGTGACCATCTCTATCTCTGGTTGTCACGTCCTCTCATTTATCTTCAGTCACCTTATTTTGTTACTTTAGTTTAAGTGGCCTCTTGGTCCACAACACAGTTCTTCCCTTTGACAAATCACTCACAGTCATCTCTACTCCAGCCTTCACTTTTCCACATTCACCCTGCTCAAACAGTCCAATCTGTTTTCTGTCCTGGGTACTCCATTGACTACAAAGGTCAAGCCGTTGGAACCAAGTGCTCAATCTCTCTCATGTCTACCTTCAGCTTCTCTGGTATCTCAACTCCACTGGCCACAGCCTCTTCCCTGAGAAGTATCCTTTCCTTGATTTCCATGAGTCACATTCCCTTGGTTTTCCTCCAATATCACTGGTCTTCCTTCTCAGTTCCTTTTGCTGGTGTTGTCCCTCTTTTTGTTCTCTACACACACTGTCTCTCTTTGGCTAATCTCCTTTGTTTTTCCATAAATTTAGCTCAATACTTCTGTCACAGATGCCAACAAATATCCTTACAACCTTTGCCTCACACAAGACTCTATTCTCTTATATTTAACTGAACTCTTCACATTCCACATAAATGTGCAAAATTATCTCAGACTTACCCTAAACAAAACCTGTATTTTCATGACTCTCTCAGTTTTCCCTATATCACTAAATACCTCTACCTTCTACCTATGTACTTAAGACATAATCCTTAGGGTAAAACTTGGTATTCTGACCCAACTTATATTTAATACATTGATAATTTATACAAAAATATGCCCCAAACTCTCCTCTTCATCACTGTCTTTACCATACTGCACTACTTGAAGCATTAGCTTGTGTTTCCTAGATATTTGCTGTGCTTCTACATGGTCTGCTTGCTTCACATAGCACCCTTAGTTAATATTTGTAATTTAATATAATTGCCTGTCATTGTAACCCTAAGTAACTTTCTATATCTGCTTAGATCAATGGATGTTCCTTACCCTGGGTCTCAGGATCTACAAGGATAGATCTGCTGAATGCTTTAACCCTATCTTGCCTTATGCTACTCCACACACATCTGCCTCATTACACTTCAGCCTTTCTAGCCATGTTCATTTCCCTAGAACATCACACATCTTGCTACACATTAGCCTTTCCCTGTTCTCTCACCCTTGATGCTTTTCCCCTTAGGTTCTCAGTAGGCTGTTTTCTACATATACAATGCTCAGGTAAATCCACCTGCTCAAGGACAGCTGTCTGATGTTTGAACAGAAGTCAGGGTAATGTACAACACTGTGTCCCAATACCCTAATATCTTAGCTTCAGAGCACTTATTGCTCTCTGAAATTTTCTTCTATGTTCTCTGTTTATTAGATTTTTGTCTTTTCCCCATTGTTAGATGAGTTCCGTAGAAGTAGAGAACAATTCTATTTTATGCAATAGAATTATCAGAGTCTAGAACAGATCTGTGAATACAACACTTGCTCAGAAAATATCTGTAACCTAAAGGAAACAGCTAGGGATCTGTTGAATTGATCATTGCAGAAATCTTTGAAAGGAAGTGGGGCTCTAGTCTTACACTCTTTTATTTGAATGGCACATAGCATCTCTCCCTCTTGCTGTGAGAAATTTAGCCAAATTTCCTTTTTGTCATTTTTCTAATTATCCATGTTCACAGAGAAGGAAACTGTGACTGTAAGGAACAGGAGTACTAGGTTTGGTGGCCCATGCCTACTACCCCAGCACTTGGGAGGCTGAGACAAGTGGGCTGTATGTCCCACAAAGTGGGACATTTTTGTTGTTTAATGGATCTCTTCCATTGCTGAGTATTTGCACATGGTCCAGTTACTTTCAATCATGGCAACAATTGGATCAGAACGAAATAATTACCAGGTGAAGGTAGAGGAAGCCAGATATGGCAAATTGAAGAAAAGATAGGGCATGATAAAGGCTTCTAAAATCTGACATAAATCTGTTGGACAATGAGTACCTTTGGATTATTGGCTTTCAGCACATGGAGGAGTTATCAGTATGCACATTCTCTCTGTACCTCTGCTCATCTGTATACTTTGGCACACAAGGAATTCCTGATATTTTACTATTTTTGAGTTACAAAGTAGAATTTCGCATAATTCATCCTCCATAACTTGCTTACCTTCTTGAACTCTCAGACAATGTAGAAAAAAATATACTGTAGAAAGATCCAGGGAGTCTTTTCTCTTGTTTCCTATGTGGGGTGCAAGAACTCTTACTCTTTCCCCGACTTCTATTTTATCCTGTTTATAAAAATAAATCCTTGCTAAAAAGAAAAGAAAAATTCAAATAGATTCATAGAGAATTACACCTTCAAAATTTTTCATCATATGCCTTCAGTACTTTAAGGCACCAAAGAATAACCCATAGATACTCATTAAGTATGAGATCATCTAAGTATTAAGGTCTGTACTTCAGCAACAGGATGCTTTCCAAAGGAAACATGAAACACACAGATACAGGCTATATAAACACTGTGATTGAGAGAGACAGAAAGAAGACAATGGAGGACACCTCTAGGTGTTCCAGGTATATTACAGAAGTAGCAACATCACAGGATTTTGAAGACAAAACACAGGAGGGACACTAATGAATCCTTTTGACTTCTCATAAACTTCTCTGGAGAATCACTGCATAAAAAAGGGTACTGATGAATGAGGAATTATTTTAACATCATTATTTCTAAGTGCTTTCAAGATCCTCAGGGAATGTCCAGTAATATTGGGGAGGTTTCATTGGAGAGAATTGAGAATAAATGTCCTATATAGAGTCCCAATATCCATGTCTCATAGACAGTATACATGACCAGGCTCCATTACAATGTGGAAATAATTTAAGATCTGAAGGATAAATGTAGGTAACCACAATTTTTAAAGGATACAGCCTAGAAACAATGACAAAATTAACTCTCTTACTTCTCCAACCCACAGTCTCACACCTTTGTGACACTGTAGCACTTGTCCCTTATGTAAGGTGTCCCTGGACAAAGCCAGGAGAGGACAGAGGACCATCAGTATCACTGTCAGATCTGCCATGTGGGGTCGTCTGGAGGGCCACAGACCTCCATGCTGATTAATAGAAGAGGATGGGAGACAGAGAAGACAATTCTCACTGACCCTTCCACCCACATCCAAATTAATGAGAACCAAGGTATCCATTGCTGTGATGTGGGTTGGGATAATCAGAGTGTGAGAAAATCAATCAACATTAGCAGTGATTAGTATCATCAGTAGACAGTCAGAATTTCAGGATGAAAGTGCTCTATCTAAAACAGGATTTCCTTCCTTAGGTCATTAATTGAATTTAGTATTTTAAAATTTGATCCAGTTGTATTTGAAAAACACTTTAACTGGGCCACCATGGTGAGTCATCTCCATGCTAGTCAGTGACACATTCACAATTTCTAGGATTGTAGGAGCACTGGTTTCTCCATTGAAGACAGTGTTCTTTAGACAGCTGCATATGGTGTTGTGTTTAGGAATAAAGGGGGTGGAGGGAAGACAACTGAAATTCAGGATAACTTTAGTCTTGTCCTCACTATTCCATTACTGTAGATTGGGGAAAATTACTTCACTTTTCACACTTGAATGAAGGTACTGCAATCTGTCAGGAATATCAATTGTAGAAAATACTTAGATTCTGTGGACACTACACACACCAGAATTCCCTGGCCACTGATCATATGACTGAATTAGAGCTGTTGATTGGGGAGGAGAATCTGTGCTTCTTTGTTGTTTAGGACACTTCTGATAAACTAAAAGAAATTCAAAGTTTGTCAGTCAGTTAATAGAATAAAAGTGTGTTTTCCCAGTTTGTCTCCTGATGCGTCACTGATTTCAAAGTGGTCCTCCAACTTACATATAGGTAATGAGCTGAGAGGAGGTCACCATGTGAAATGAGGGTCTTAATAATACTTTGCAACAGCTTTCTCAAATAACGTTTGTAAGGCTACTATCCATCAAAGTAGGCAGGGACTGAGAAATCTATAAAGACCTCAAATTTAGACTTTTGACAATTTCTGCTTTAAAATCATTAATATTTCCTATAAAATAATTTTCAATCCCTTAAACCTGGTTTCCATTATGATTCTCTCCTTTCATTGAGGATGTATCCATCTATTATTACTTCACTTCCTTGCCTAAGGACTGACAGAAGAATAGATTGCTACAGAATACAGCATTGAATGTTCTGGAAATAGAAAACTATGAATTAAATTATTTAATATAATCATAGAATTTCAAATGTATAATTCTATTTTTAGACAATTATCACATAATATGCTAATATTATGTGTAATCTTTCAGATTCAGAATGCACTAAATGAAACAATTTTGTATACAAAGTTCTGCATAATTTTCCAGTCCATCACAGTTCTGATAAGTAGTCACTCTTTATATACTTTAATATTTAAGGAGACATGAGAGTCGCCTATGCTAGCAATAACTTGTCCCCCTAAAAGTTTTTTGGGTAGCTTTAGAGGAATTTTACTTTTTTCTGTCAGGAATGACTTCTACTTTTTCTACACACGATAGGGATATTTTTAATTGCTCCGATTCTTCAAGAGGCGAAGCTAGAGTGTAGGGGAATCGTCACAAAGCGAGCTCTGGGCTTATAACTATATGAAATCTTAGACAGAAACTGGAGACACACTTTTGCAGGCTAATCACTGAGAAAGAGGCATAACTTTGCCCCCTCCAACCTCCAGCTGGCAGAGAATCCCATCACATTAACGAGAAACCAGGAGAGCCCCCGGGACGCCAGTCGCCGGCGCCCAGATGGCTTGGGAAGACGCAGACCAGGTGAGCTTCGTGGTACGTGGTACTCCCACAGACAAGCCTTGGCCAGCAGCATAGCCCCCTGGACAGACTGACCCCAAACCAGTTTATCCAGGAAAAAGGAGAAACTGAGTAATAAGCAATAACAATAAAGACACATTGCAAAGAGAGTGGGGCACCCTGAGCTCAGAAGAGGGGGAGAGGGAAATCCCTCCCAGAACTGTAAATAAACAAGCTGGACCTGGCTGGAGAGGTGGAGTGGGGGCGCGCGCCCAGCAACCAGGAGCGGGAATGCTTGTGAGAGTGGCGGAGGGAGGAAAACTCCACAGGAGAGGAGGGAAGACCCACTTCCCACATGAACTGTAAACAAACATGGCAGCTGGCAGGAGCAGCAGCACCACCCAGTAATCAGGAGCAGGAAAGCTTGTGAAAGTGGCGGTGGGAGGAAAACTGCAGAGGAGAGGGGAAGACCCACCTCCCAATGAACTGTAAATAAACACACAGGCCTAACAACAGGTGCAGTGTCACCTTTCCCAGTGTGCTTTTTAAAGGGGAAAGCTTGTAGCAGAGGCTCACGCACAGGAGGAATCTGAGTAAACAAAGCCTGCAGGGCCAGGTGAGTGCTAAGCTCACCCCAGAGGTCTGCATAAATAATGCCACCAGCAACAGCAGGCTGACATCAGCAGGCAGGGAAGCCACAGCTGCAGATACCATTCTCAGAACTGTCTCCACACTCTTTTTTTTTTTTTTGTCTCCCTACCTTTGATGAGAAAACAACCGAATTACACCTGCAAGCTGAAAAACTTACTGAAACTGTATTGCATTTGAACTTGGGACACATGGTGGAGGTTTTTTTGTGTGTGTATGTGTAGTTTTGTTCTACTTTATGCGTCCCCTTTGATGAGACAACTACAGAACAACATCTGAGGCACTATCTCCAGGATTGGAGACTGAGACGGACACCCAAATTATTAAGACTGAAACTTCATTGCATTTGAACTTGGAGGGTTTTTTGGGTTTTTTTTTTTTTTTAATTTTCTATTTTCATTTTATTTTAATCATTTTATATATAGATTTTTCTTTCATTACTTATTTTTTATTTTATTTATCTTTATTTTTTTATTTTTGATTTTCAATCCTCTCTCTGTCTCTCTAATGTCTGTTCAGCTTACTGTCAATTAGTACACTAAACCTCCCTGTTTATACCTTTGAAACTTTCTTGTCTGTACCTTGTTCTGTTTTCTCCTTCGTCTGTGTTTTTTCCCTTTCTTTAACTTCTTGCTTTCCATCTCAGCTCACCCTTCCATTCTAAATATTACCATTGTTATTATTACAAGCTAGAAAATACTTAATTGCACACAGTACAGGGACAGTAACAACACAAGACAATGACGGGAAGACAGAAAAAACAGGGAAACCAGTTTCCCCACAGCAAAAAATTAGTACAGGAACCAGAGGGAATGAAGAAAACAGAAACTCAGATCCAGACTCCAACAAAATGAAGATAAACTATGCCAAAGGACCCAATGAAGCCCACAAGAATAATTTAAAAGAAGACATACTACAGGTACTCAATGAGAATTTTATAGAGATGATACTGGATAGGGTCAACCAAAATGTACAGGAGACACTCAAGAAATTCCAAGACAACAAAAATAGAGAATTTGAAAAGCAAAAGAAGAAATAAAGGAAACCATAGAAGCACTGTATAAACACCAAAGTGAAAGAGAGAACACGATGAATAAAGATAAATGAACTCAGGACAAAAATAGACAACATTAAAGAGGAAACACCAGGATATGGAAAACCTCAGAAAAAAGAATGAAACAGAACTGCAAAACAAAAGGAAGGCCAATCCAGCAGAATAGAACAAACAGAAGACAGAATCTCAGAACTTGAAGATGAAATGGTAATTAAAGGAAAAACCAAAGAACTATTAATTAAACAACTCAAGACCTGTGAAAAGAAAATGCAAGAACTCACCATCAAAAGACCAAACTTGAGAATCATGGGCATCGAAGAAGGAGAAGAGGTGCAAGCAAGGGAATGCGTAATATATTCAACAAAATAATAACGGAAAATTTCCCAAATCTAGAGAAAGATATTCCCATACAGATGCAAGAGGCCTCCAGGACACCAAACAGACCAGATCAAAATAGAACTACCCACGACATATCATCATTAAAACAACAAGTTCAGAAACTAAGGAAAGAATATTGAAGGCTGTAAGAGAGAAAAAAAAGTAACATACAAAGGTAAACCCATCAAAATCACAGCAGACTTCTCAACAGAAACATTAAAAGCAAGAAGAGCTGGGGTGAGATCTTCCGGGCACTGAATGAAAATAACTTCAACCCCAGGATACTCTACCCAGCAAAACTATCATTCAAAAAGATGGAGCAATAAAAGTCTTCCATGATAAGCAGAAACTAAAACAATATGTGACCACAAAGCCACCACTACAAAGATTCTTCAAGGGATTCTGCACACAGAAAGTGAAACCCAACTTAACCATGAAAGACAGGCAGCACCAAACCACAGGAAAAGAAAAAGCAAGACAGTAGAGAGTAACCTCAACTTAGGTACACACAATCAAACCTTCAAACAACTAAGACAACTAAATGACAGGAATCACCACATACCTATCAGTACTAACCTTAATGTTAATGGACTTAATTCACCCATCAAAAGGCACCGTTGACAAAATGGATTAAAAAGGAAGATCCAACAATTTGTTGCTTACAGGAGACCCATCTCACTGACAGAAATAAGCATAGGCTTAGGATGAAAGGCTGGAAGAAGATTTACCAAGCCAATGGCCCCCGAAAACAGGCAGGAGTAGCAATACTTATCTCTGACAAAGTAGACTTCAAACCTACATTGATCAAACGAGATAAAGAAGGACATTCCATACTAATAAAAGGGGAAATAGACCAAAAGGAAATAATAATATCAATCCTGTATGCACCCAATGTCAAGCACCCAATTTCATCAAACATACCCTGAAAGACCTAAAAGCATATATAAACGCCAACACAGTGGTTGTGGGAGACTTTAACACCCCATTATCATCAATAGATAGGTCATCCAAACAAAAATCAATAAAGAAATCCAAGATCTAAAATATGCAATAGATCAAATGGACCTAGTTATGTCTACAGAACATTTCATCCAACTCTACACAATATACATTCTTCTCAGCAGCCCATGGAACCTTCTCCAAAATAGATCATATCCTAGGGCACAAAGCAAGCTCAGCA